ACCTTCACGTTCCTAGCACTCCACACAAGGCATGCCAAAGGCTAACCTGACAAGCATTGCTGAAGAGAACTGAACACAAATTTTGATGGCCTAACAGACAGCCTTCTCCTCTCAGGGTGTTAAGTACTCTCCTTGGTAGACTGACTCCCATATCTGGTATGGCACTGTTGAGATGCACAGCCTCTAAGAAACACTACAACTGACCATTACCATCTGCGTTATGTCTCACTTTATGGCGAGGTGGGTAGAAGCAGAATTCATGCTTATGTGAGTACCAACCACACAGTACTCTGGCATGTTTTCCAGTGGCTTAAAGTTCCTGGTACAGCAAAAGACTGCCGTCAGATAGTAATGTGGTGCTGGAAAAAAGGGGCTCTGAGGGCAAAAGATAATCATTAACAGGAAATAGAAAAGATGGGCATGGCCAGATTTACTCTGGGTTGATGTCTCAGGATAACAGGAATCAGAAAAACCTAGATTCTGAGTCTAGATTTTGTGCATTTCTCCTCATATTTTGAGAACTGCAACAAATATATCTAACCCCAAATCTAGCATTTTGGCTATGTCTTTCTCTAAAATGCCTGTAGCTTTACATTTCTTCTGTGAGTGGCCCACTCTTCCTTCCTCATCTCCTTGGGACCATCACCCTCAGGCCGTTTCTGTGAAATGAGCTATTTTAGGGGCCTTATGTAAACAGAACCATATAGTCTTTGTCCTCTCATTTTGGGCTTATCTCACTCAGCATAATGTATTCAAGACTTTGTCCAGGTTATAGTATGTATCAAGAAAATCACCTTTTAAGTCTGAGTAGCATTCCACTGCATGGATATAACACATTTTTATTGTCTACTGATAACATTTGGGCTCATTTAACTTTTCGATATTGTGAATATTGCTGCTATGATTGAGTCCTTGCTTCTGATTCTTTTGGGTATGTGCTCAGAAGTCTGATCTCTGAATCAAATGGTAAGTCTACCTTGAATATTTTGAGGAACTGCCTATCATTATTTTTACAGTGGCTGTATCTCTTTACACCCTCATCAGCAATCCAAAAGGGTTTTGCCCTATCTAAATACTGTACTTTGTGGCTTCTAGTGGAGTGGATTGCTCTGGACTTTTCTCTCTTATCTACGAAATACAGAATTAGAAAGTGACAATCTCTAAAGTTCTGTCCAGCAATAAAGGAGATATCTTGGCTGAATTAAGTCAAGATATGACAAGAGTCGAAAAGCTGTTGGGATGGTTTATGGCGTTTCAGTTAATGCTCAAGCAGGTCTGACTATTGCAGCAAAGTCATAGCCTTCCCAGAGTCTAACATCATTTTGTGGAAGCATTGGCCAGAAGAGTGGAGATCCTTTCCTGGGCACATATTCTGTTGAGCATGATTCAAGCATCCCCATAGACTCTTATAGGGCAAACATCCCAAGGTCACAGGTTGGGAAACTGAGGCCCTGCAGTTATACCCCTTTCCCAAGGTTGTGTAGCAGCCATGGGAAAAGCCCAGATCTACCCTCAGACAGACCTCTTTTTTCTTCTTCTTCTTACCCCTGCACTTTTTATTTTTCAACAGGATCTCTCTATGAAGCCTGGCTAGTCTAGAGCTCATATAAATCAGCCTGACCCTCACCTTACAGTGGTCCTCCTCCTCTGCCTCCAGAATGCTGGGATTACAGATATGGGCTCCATGCCCAGCTTTCCTGATTAGCATTTTTTTAACGGTTACTTTCACCATTTAAACACTTCAGCCTTCTGTAGAGTCTAGCCCAGTGTGGTGGCTTGAATGTGCTTGGCCCAGAGAGAGGCACTATAGGGGGTATGGCCTTGTTGGAGGAGGTGTGGCCTTCATGGAAGAAGTATGTCACTGTAAGGATGGGCTTTGAGAAACCCCCTCTTTGCTGCCTGAGGACAGTCTGCTTCTAGCTTCCTCTGGATGAAGATGTAGAACTCTCAGCTCCTCCTGCACCATGCCTGCCTGGATGCTGCCACGCTCCCATCTTGGTGATAATGGACTGAACCTCTGAACCTGTAAGGCAGCCCCAATTAAATGTTATCCTTATAAGAGATGCCTTGGTCATGGTGTCTGTTCACAGCAGTAACACCCTAACCAAGACACACCGTATTCTCAATTGTAGCATTTATTTTTCTCACTTTCAGGCAGGAAGACTAAAATATGCAAAATTGCCCCAGAAATTCTCCCGGTGAATTTTTTATAGTAACTTTTGTCTGGCAACTTTCAAGCGCTTTTGCAGTTACTCTGATGTCAGATTCTTTGAAGGTGTGACTAGGAGTCTGCTTGCTGTGTGCCTGGAAGGCTTCCACACAGTAATGGATTCAACCCTAGCAGGAATCCTATGGACCCCACTTCATCAACTCTGTTTTATACTTAAGGGATCAGAGACTCACAGAGGGAAGGAGATTCCCCAAGGCCACGTCACCCAAAAGGAACAGCTGGGAAGCAGGCTTGCCACCGTCAGCCTGGACCCCTGCTCCTTCCTACAGAGATGATACCCCAACGAGGGAATGGATTTGATCTAAGGTCCTGCCTACAGCCAAAGGAGGAGCTGGTGTTGAAGAGAAGCCAGAGAGGGAGTGAAGGAATGCACAGTCCTTCTGCAGGCCATGGATCTGCATGGAGAAGGGACACCCCAGTCTGCACCGAAGCTGGTCACATGATCACTGGGATCTGTTTCCTGTCAGAAGGAGTCTGTGGAGATGTCCCAGCATAATGAAAGCTGGTTACTGAAAACATTTGCTGTCTACTTATATTGAGTTTTTCTTTTTAAGGAGAGATGGTCTTAATAATTCCATGGGACTTGAGCCTCACTCAGTGAGGGGTCTCCAGATGCTTGCTGGTCATGTGACTTTTGTCCCCTGCCTTTGGTGGTAACATAGTGGTCTTTACAGCTTGAACTAGCAATTTGTTGCATTACAAATGCAGAGATTTTTCTTTTCTTAAGTAATAAAACTGTCAAAGCAGCTGTAGCAATTGGACATGACACCTGCTCCATGAAAAGCCATTAGTATGTCGATGGTGGCTGCTGTAGGTCACCCGGCCCAGAATGCCTTGGGAATCACAAGGATTCTGGGTCACAGGATTGGGAAAGTAACAATGCACAGCAAGCCTGGCTGTGCAGCATGGCAAAGCCACGTCACCACAGCCTGTTATCAAGGTTAGCTGTGACCTGCCTCCATAGGGCCATTTCCTCCCAGGAAGTTAAGAAACTATATGGCAGTGCCAGGGTGGGGGAGGGATATCCAGGGAGACCCCCACTCACTCAGAGGAGAAGGGGAGGGGGGGTGGATAGAGGATTATGGGAGGGGGTAACAGGGAGGGAGACAGTGGGCAGGATGTAAAGTGAATAAGTAAAAAAATAAATTCAAAAAACTTAGAAAAAGAAGCTGAAAATGAGTGACAGCAAAGTATCCAAATAACAAAAGAAAGAAAGAAAGAAAGAAAGAAAGAAAGAGAGAGGGAGGGAGAGAGGGAGGGAGGGAGGGAGGGAGGGAGGAAGGAAGAAGGAAAGAAACTTCATGGCACGAGTCACAGACATAAGCCCTTCTCCTTCACATTTTACTGATAAAATTATAAAAGCCACATTCTTTCTTTGCTCATTCTAAATTTTCTAACTATTTAAATAAATTGTTCTTATGAAAATTAAGCTTGCCAGGCGGTGGTGGTGCACGCCTTTAATCCCAGCACTTGGGAGGCAGAGGCAGGCAGATTTCTGAGTTCGAGGCCAGCCTGGTCTACAGAGTGAGCTCCAGGACAGCCAAGGCTATACAGAGAAACCCTGTCTCAGAAAAAAAAAAAGAACATTAAGCTAGCCTGGAGACATTTGGTAGAAACTCAAAGCATTTTATTTTTACTCTCTATGACACTTGTGTTTTCTCGATTTTGGTGACTCTTGGCTCCTAAGCTCAGAGACTCATCACGAGCTGTGACACACATTGATAACATGTGATTGGGTGAGAAGTGAACGGGTTTCTAGGTGGCTTCTGCTATGGGTGGTGCACAAAATTCTCAGGGACAATCATATCTTCAGGACCAGTATGGAGGCCCCTGCATAGATATTCTCAAAATAGTAATGTTTATAAGTCTGAAGAGTCTTGGAGGGGACAAGTCTTTCCTATGGCAGTTAATATTTACCAAACCTAATTTTTTGTTTCAAACCTGTATAAAGGGTATCTACATCACAAAAGAAAATGGAAGAAATAGAGGTTGAGGATTATACTCATATGATGAAAGTTTACAGACATTACCTAGACGTTATTAACAGTGAATAGCATGTCCTAATTTTCACTAAAGCATATATTTTAAATTCATTTCTATACCTTCTCTGCATATAGTAGGTAACAATGTAAATTTTGAACTCAAACAGTGTGGTTACAGAACCATATAGACTGTTTTATTTTCAATCTAAGGACATCAATCCTTGTTCTTTCTTACTTCAAAGTAAAGCACGGAACATGGTAACTTGAATGTATTAACAACACAAGATGACTTTCTCACAGTGACACCTTATCGTGTTATACCAAAAACCTGAGCTTGGCATTTGGTTTTGCATAAAAAGCTGACATGGTAGCCCAGAGGCTTAGGGAGGTTTTGAAGAGCCCTCTCCTCTTTCAGCTTTGAGAGGACGTCTTCTCTGTCTTGCTCCTTGAAGATTGTCAACAGAAACAAAACTGGTATCAGAAGTGGTGACTGACCCTTGCTTGACCCATATGTGGCCTGACTACATGAAGGGGGTGTCTCATGTCACTTTGATTCAGTCTTTCACAACAACTCCCTTATTGCCATTTGATACTGAAATTGTCCCAGAAATAACAATGGTGTAAGAGGAGAACAGCCTAGGAGAAATTCTTGATTCTTCAGAGTGAAACACAAATTGTAGTTGTTGGTGGCAACAACTAACAAGAAGACATTTAGAAAAGGCACAGGAGGTCTCTGAGGAGAGCTCATTTGTAACAGGCTAGAAGCGGGTTGGGTAAGTCAGACTTACAGATTTGAGGATCCCTGTGGCATCTTCGTGGAGCCAGGTAGGGTAGACAACTTCATCATTCAGTATGGCCTCAAAAAGGTCATCTTCATTCTCAGCCTCAAAGGGCGCATGCCCACACAGCATCTCATAAAGCAGCACGCCCATGGCCCACCAGTCTACTGCAGGTCCATACAACATCTCCTGAAGGATCTGGACAGAGGGGCTGTGTGAGAGGCAGCTCACGGACGTGTGTAACCAAAGTGTTCTTTGTGACGAGGGATTAGGAGATAGCAAAACCAGGAAGCACAAGTCCATCTTGTTGACACTCGTGTTTCATTCATCTCTACAGAGAGTGTGTGTGTGCTTAGGTGCCGTCTCTGCTAAGTGATCCAGCATTTATCACTTGCTTAGGCCAATACAATGACACATTCATATGGAAAGAGGAATGGCTTGGAAATATCTAACATGGAGGGGAAAGCACACTGGGTTCATTCATCCATAGGGAAGAGATACAGCTACTACTTTCTTCAGGTTTGCTACAGGGGCTAGAATCAAATCAAGTAGAGATTAAAAGACAACGAGCCACGAGCGAACCCATCACACAATTTCTAATATCTCAAACTCTGATTTAGACAAATTCTCGCCGTTTTCCATTACCATTCATTCAATGAGCTGTGTGTGACCCTGGGAAGTGTCCGTGTGGGTGCCGCCCACGGAACTACGGCACATGATAACACCTGGTTGTATTTCTATTCTGGGCTAAGCAGAGCTCAGATTTAAAAGCCACACCTAGCAGGTACACTCACCTCTGGGGCAATGTAGTCGGGTGTGCCGCAGAAGGTGGCTGTGGTGACTCCATTACAAATCCCCTCCTTGCACATTCCAAAGTCGGCCAGTTTACAGTGACCTTCATGGTCCAATAGCACGTTGTCCAGTTTCAAGTCTCTGAAAGAAACCAGGGACAGCATGTGATAAGTAGTCAGATCACAGTGCTCACATGGGCTTTCTAAACGTACTCAAATGTTTCTGCACAAACTTCTTTGGGCTATTGGGATTAAAACACAAAAAGTGTACACCAACTCTCAGAACTTGCTTCAGGAACCCTAGAAGATGAGCCCCATGAATGGGCTAACCACACAGAAGAAAGAAGTCCTCAGGACGAGGGCAAACTGTGACTTTTCTGGGCTTTCCAGGTACTTTGTACCCATAGGAAATCCACCTACCAACACCCCATTTTCCACATTCATACCCATTCCTGTCCTTCAGAGTTCACTCAGTGAGCATTCACAGAACAAGTGGCAGCTGTGTGCCAGAGAGTGTGACAGCTATTCAGAGTTTGGATGATCATAGCCAGGTGTGGTGCTATGGTACTCCTGTAACGCCCATACTCTGAAGGAAAAGGCAGAACAGTTCTGAGTTGGGAGCAGCCAGATTAGAAATGGAATGAATTCACTGCCAGCCTGAGGGTCTAGGTACTGGGCATCTTAGACAAAGGTTCTTTCTACCCCTCTGCCAACATCTTAGAAAAGTTACTGGAAGGAAGTGGATTGTTTGTCAAAACAAAACACTTTAGTGTAGGAGGCACACACACCTCATCTGCAGACTGACAATGGTTATCAGCAAGCCAAAGGCAATAGTGTTCTAACACAACTTCTGGTATAGGCTTTAGCGTCCAGCTGCCAATCACTAGCCACAGCCTGGACACTGTTACCAAGGAAGGCCGCAATGGGCTCAGGGCGGGAAGGAGTCCTGTCAGTCATCACTCCACACACCCAGGCACAGCAGAGAGAGCATGCGGAAGGTGTCTATGCTTCACTTTCTAAAGGAATGATGCGCTCAGAGGCAAACCACAGTCCTATCGTAGGAAGAAGGTAGCATATTATGTAGGGATGTTAGGTGACCTGCAGATGCCCACAGCTGGAGACAGGCAGCTAACTGCCAATTAGTACAGCATCTCCAGCTTTGGGCCACTTGGTTGGGAGCCTAGGCATCCTCCTTACTATAGTGTCTCAAGTATATGGCGCTGGTGGCTGGTCAAAGTACTCAACTGTTTCCTTGGTCTGAGAATAAAAGGCCACTAGGCTGTGAGGACCAAGGGAAAGGCTGGTTTTTGTCCAGCTCAGATCATGTTGTAGCTGAGGAGGGAGAGGAATACAGAACTGCCACGGCCACCTGGGGTTCCCTGTGAGTCGGCACAACCCAGCTGCTACGCCTTACAACAGTGGTTACTGGGTATTGCCCAGAAACGAAAATGAAGCCCCATTTTCCAAGAATGGTTTGTGGGCAGTGTAGTAGAACTTTCTTGGCACAGGCCTTCCTTCTGCTCCTGGATTCTTGATGACTGTCTCTAGGGTCAGGGATGCGAGACCCAGGTATGCCAAGTACCCTGTACCACTTAGCAAGGTGAGCTTCCTCTGTCTCTAAGCCAGGACCGTCCCTGTTCCACCTAGCAATCTCCTTCCACAGAAGCCACTGCTTTCAGTGGGCTGTGATTATGAATGCCATCTCCTCCTTGCCCCCCCCAACCCCTGAGATAAAAGCACAAAAAGCTTCATACTGGACTCACAGGAGCACTATGGGGAATGGGAGTGAGGCTGATATACTTTTGTCACATGAGGAGGCTGTGGTCCACAGTGGTTTCTGGCATGGGAGACCCTTCTAATACCTGTCACCTGGCTCCTGGGGGTTCAGTGATGAAATTCTAGGGAAGCATCACCCACTGTCTGACGAGGGATCTGAGAGGATGTACAGGAGTCAGCACGACTACAGGAACTGGCCTGCAGGGCTGGTCTTATCTGTATCACGTCCCAGGCCAGCAGTGCAGCCCAGCGCGCAGGCCTGTGTACGCCTGAGCTCAGAACACCCTTACATTTCCAAACAAGGTTACTGGGTTTCTGAACTGTGCTGAAGCCGTTATGCCTGCTGAAGTCTCGGACAGGATCTTGGGCAACAGCAACAAGTACAGACAGAACCCCGCAACGGTCTTTCCAGCCTTGCCGACTACTCAAAAGGGCTTGTGACTAACACCCCAGGCAGGAGGCTTCTTGCTTATTACTCAGCAGCTGTCATGGGCAGCAGGATGGTTTAAGGAGAGGAAAGTGCCATGTCATCAGTTTGCCAGCCCTCTATGGCAATCTCCTCTGCACGGCCAAGTCTTAGGACAATTCTTGGGCGGCACACCTGAGCAGCACAGGGGATGTGACTCATTCTGGTCATACGATGCCCGAGGCCACAAAGACAGGTTATACAGCTTGAACTTGACTTTTCAGTCTAATTTTAGGCCTTCTCAGAACCGTGTAAGTCCCCTCAAATAAAGAGAGAGAGAGAGAGAGAGAGAGAGAGAGAGGCTGGAACAGCTTTCTATATCAGATGCTAATCATGTGAAAAATCTCACACTGGGATTCCAAGACCATTCAATTAGTAACATTATTGATTTTTCAATTAGTAAAATCAGGTTATCAGCTCTGCTCTTAGCTCAAACACCTCATGTCTCCACTGTGAAGTCGCCTTGCTACCCCAAAGTAGACATACTAATGTCAACTCTGCCTTTAGAATACTCAGTTCAGACTTTCATGGTAGCACCCCAGCTCTTGCTTCTAGAAGGCTCTGGCATGCACCCTCCTGTCCTTTAACAAGACCTGAACCTTATTCCTTTCCAGGTTTAGTTCAGTCTTGGCAGCAAGTGTCCAAGAGAGAAATGGATAGATTTCAGATGCCTAATGCTTGTTCCCCTGAACAATTCAGAGCCCAACTTATTTTTAGGAGAAGAAAAGATCTTCCACAAAACTCACTGACACCCTTGTTCTGAAGTGAGCCAGCAACATGGCCACGTATCACACACCTTGAGACAAAGTCTAGAGGGAAAATAAGAAACCTGAAACAGAAGTTCGAATTCTTCTTTTGAGTGAAACTGGAGAAAGGAAATTGATCTGGAAGGAGAATCTCAGGGCCAGGAGGGCCAAGCAAAGCCATTGTCTTTCTGCTGGCTCCCATCCAGAAGGAAGAAGAAGGCAGACAAACAAACCCGCCATGGCCAGCTTCCACACCGGGGGAGGGTCAACCATGAGGGGACCAAATGAAAAAATTATTATCCTATCATTTTCTGCAAACTGCAGAGGTCAGTTTTTTGGCTCTGGAGTTTTTCCTCTGATTCATAAGCCAACATATAACACAACAGCCAAACATAACATAGCTACATGATGAAGATTACAAGTTCACACAGGACAGAGGCTGAGATGCTAAGATGCCAAACACAATGCCAGCTCACCAGTCATTAGCTCATTGAACACTGGTATTTAATAGCCAAGGCCTTTGTGTGGCATGCAAAGGCAGAGAGGCAGAGTTATTTTATCCTCTCAACTTGCCTGAAAGGTACATTGTTCTTGCTGGGTAAGCAGGGTTACTTAAAATGCCCACGGTAGTTTCAGAGAGAATTCCCAAGTGGTTGAGGACAAAGAAGATTCAGAAATTGGATTTATTTTGCTTCCACCCTGAGCTGTCCCCAGAGAAATAAAACAGAATGGAGAGTAGAACAGAGGTCTGCTTAGCTCACCAAACTCAGTTGTTCCTCCAAAAGAAATAAAGGGAGTGAGATGGGAATGGCTCCTGAATAAGAATGGATCCAGGAGGCAATTCACGGGCAGCGGATATTCACTATCTACAGTGTGTTGTTTCCATTTATTGGTGAAATTGTCAACTGCAGTCGGAAGCATAGGGGACAACCCAAGCCCAGCCTCCTCACTCACCAGCAGCCGCTCTTGGTGGCAGGCTCTATCTCGTCCTGTCTACACAGCTCCCCCACCCCTCGCTGACCCATCTCTTTTCATATTATTTTGAAACAAATCCAGCACAGGAATGCAACTCATCTGTGCTCTATTATCTGAATCCAAAAGATAATTATTTAATAAAGTAAAACAGTGAGGCCAGTTATCTTGAAATAGTTGATAGTGAATCATCCATCAACGCTCTGCTTTCTGTTGCTCGTGTGTGTGTGTGTGTGTGTGTGTGTGAGAGAGAGAGAGAGAGAGAGAGAGAGAGAGAGAGAGAGATATCTTGAGCCTAAAAAGGTGTTTTGTGGATAATCAGAATAACAGTGTTGTTAGTAAGAACATAAATTAAATGCTCATCAAAATATTGTGTGTTTTACATTGCTCAAAACTACCTATGAAGCCGACTGCTTCATGGTAGTTTTTCCCCATGATCCTCTAGCTAGCCAGGGGCAAGACCAGACTTCAGGATCACTCCCTTCTATGCAATAGGACTGCTGGTCTCCTCCAATGTGATGTTCCTCGAGAAGACTTTGCTTATTGAAATTAAGAGCCTCCTGAGATAATCAATAAATATCCTGAGATAACAACGAGGCTATTTTATTTACAGCAGTGTAAAATGTGCATTAACATTCTGTAGACACACTTCTGCCTTTGGCTTGTGTGCTGGCAAAGTGTTCAGTGGATTTCAGGACATCCAGGCTTGAAGATGAACAGTAGTATTTCCTTACTATTCAATATTCAGAAGATGATCTGGTACCCTCTTCCGAGGAGGTGAGGCTGTCATGCAGATGTTAACAGCTGGTGTTTGCCAAGAGCGTGATTTTTGATTATCATCTTAATTTAAAAACAAAGCTAAGTTAAGGCTGGCTGAGTTTTGAGTGTCTGGCTTTATATTTGAGAAAAATGTAAGGACAGATTATCATGTTAACTTAGTGAGTGCTTTTTAAAAACGTCACTGAAATATCAAAAATGCAAAACTTTGTTTCATCCTGTATTAGATAGGAGTGCCTGTCTGTGTCACCTAATATTAGATGTTGGTTCCTTCAGCCACTCAACAAATCTCAGCACTGACCAGTGGCCAAGCAATATGCAAGGGGCTCTGAAGACATGAACAAGCAACGAGCACCACTCTCCTCAAGTCTGGTAAGAGAGGCAGACAATCAGATAACCAGCAGC